AGCTGTGGTACTGGGCAGGACAGAATCTCTGCCAACAACTGACTTTCTCACTAGTCAATCTGGTATGGGTATTTTCCCAGATGAGGTTTCCTCTTCCCAGTCTGTGTCAAGTTGATGTAAAACTGACTGGAATACCAAGTAAAATAAAATTATTAGTAAAAATATTTATTTATATATATTTATTTATATATATTTATAAGTATTTATCCAGGTTTATAATCATCTCCCTGCATGAGTCATTTATATGATCATATTAATATTATTGAAATTGTTTTTATTACTGTTGAATAATTTCAGTAATAATAGTAATTTGTAGGTGATAGAAGCTGAGAAAATCAGTATGCTTTCACCTTAATGTGGCATAAGATTACATAAAATTTCCCTTAAACTACTAAGCTCCTGTAGTTCCAAAATTTATCAACTATTTTAAAGAAGAAATATAAACAAATAAACCTAATCCTCAGTATTAAGAAATCCAAATGGACGAATAAATACCAGTTTATTAAATTATTCAAGTTCAGTCATTCCTTATTAATATTCAGTTAAAATGTGGTTTCATTCCTTTTACTTGCATATTATACAATGTGTTACATTCTTAATATATTGATACTATATAACACAATCACAGTATATGTTTTCATATTGCCTATATAACATATAACATTATTTTTCCTTTTACTGAAAGAAGACTTTTTTTCTCATATAATATACCCTGATTACAGATCCCCCTCCTTCTATTTCCTTCCTACCTTCCATGCCATGCAAATCCACTCCATTGTGATCTCTCATTATAGAAGAACAGACTTTTAAGTAATAATAATAAAATATAACAAAATAAAATATATGATAAAGCAAAAACTGTTACATTGGAATTGAATAAGACAAACAAACGGAAGGAAAAGAACCCAAGAGAAGGCACAAGAATCAGGAACTCCATTCATTCTCACACTCAGGAGTCCCATTAAAACATGAAACTGGAAGCCATAACATATATGCAGAGGACCTGGTACAAACCTGTGGATACCCCAGGCTTGTGCCTCAATCTCTGTGGCTTGAAATGAGTTTTATTCATGATCATTAGAGGGTCTTGTTTTCTCGGTGTCCTCAGTCCCCTCTGGCTCTTAACACCTTTTTCTCCTCCTCTTCTGTGGGGTTCCCTGATCCCTGAGGGGATAGATTTGATGGAGACTTCCCATTTAGGGGTGAGTGTTCCAAGGTCTCTCACTCTATACATGTCTTTCTGTGGATCTCTGTATTTGTTCCCATCTGCTGCAGGAGGAACCTTCTGTGCTAATGGCTGAGCAAGACACTGATCTATGAATGTAACAGAATGGCATTAGGAGCCGTTTTATTACTACATTTTTTAGACCAGTAGTATTTGGTTTTGCCCTACGTTCCTGTTCACATGTTAGATGTAAATTTCATCTCATGATACTGCCTTAAGCCACATAAGATATTGGCTTATATGAGCTTTGTGCCTACAATTTCTGGCTATTATAAGTAGAGCAACAATGTACATGGTTGAGCAAATGTCTTCGTAAAAGGATGAGGCATCCTTTTGGTATATGCTCTAAAGTGCTATAGTTGAATTTTGAAGCAAATGGACTTCTATCTTCCTGAAAAACAACCACACTGATTTCAATAGTGGCTATCTAAGTTTACATTCCCAAAAGCAATGAATGAGTGTTCCCTTTAGTGTACATCCTCACCTTAGTATGTAATACATCTCCTTAATATTTTTGTGTAATCTAATGTGTTAACATTATATATGTATGTATGTTTCAATATTTCCTATGTAATATATTACTTTAATATATCCTCCTTTCTTATATTTATTCATTAATTTTGTGAGGAGGAGCCACAATACACATGAAAATAAAATTTGAGGGAGTTGGTTATCTCCTTCCACCACAAAATAGAATTCTTGGTATCAAACCCAGGTCATCAGACTTGCCAACAGACCTCCTACCCACTGAACTCTCTCACAGGATCCTATACATCTTTAATATAATCAAAGTTGGTAATAAAAGTGCTTAACTCTTAAATAAAGTTAAAAATATTTGATATAACATGAAAACCGACATACTTTCAATTTACAAATAAAAAATGGGATTTAAAAATGATAATATCTTATCTATTTCCCCTTCCCAGATGAATCCATGTATGTCTTTCTAGGGTTCTCATTGTTACCTAGCTTCTTTGGGGTTATACTGAAGACAGATTATCCTTTGCTTTATGTCTGATATCCACTTATGAATGAGTGTTTACCATGTTTGTATTTATTTGTCTGGGTTATTTCACTCAAGATGGGTTTTTTTTTTTCTAGTTCCATCCATTTCCTGCAAATTTCAAGATGTCGTTTTTTTATTTAATCACTGAGTAGCACTTCATTATGTAAATGTACCACATTTTCTTTATCCATTCTTCAGTTGAGGGGCATCTCAGTTGTTCCCAGGTTTTGGATATTATGAATAATGCTGCTATGAACATAGTTGAGTAAACCTCCTGTGGTATGAGTATGCATCCTTCGGATATATGCCCAAGAGGGGTATTGCTGAGTCTTGAGGTAGATCGATTCCCAATATTCTGAGAAACAACTGTATTGCTTTCTAAAGTAGCTGTGCAAGTTTGCACTTCCACCAGCAATGGAAGATTCTTCCCCTTACTCCACATCCTCTCCATCATAGGCTGTCATTAGTTTTTTGTTGTTGTTGTTGTTTTGTTTTGTTTTGTTTTTGTTTGTTTGTTTGTTTTGATCTTAGCCATTCTGACAAGTGTAAAATGATATCTTGGAGCTGTTTTGATTTGCATCTCCTGAATACATTAGGAGCAGGAGCTTGGGGGAAAGGAGGGAGGGTGGAATGGGAAGGAAAGAGGATAAGGGGAGAAGGAGAACATGAGGAAGTGAAGATGGTCAATTTGGGGGAAGGACAAGGAGGGAGAACAAGAAAAGAGATACCTTGATAGAAGAAGTCATTGTGGGGTTAGCAAGAAACTTGGCACTAGGGAAATTCCCAGAAATCAACAAGGATGACCCAGCTAATAGTCTAAGCAATATTTGAAAGGGATCCTCAACTGGCCTCCCCTGTAATTAGATTGATGACTACCTTAATTGTCACCATAGAACCTTTATCCAGTAACCGATCAGGCAAATACAGAGATCCACAGCTAAGCACTGGCCTGAGTTCCCAGAGTCCAGTCGAAGAGAGGGAGAAGTGATAATATGAGCAAAGGGGTCACGATCATGATGGGGAAACCCACAGAAACAGCTGACCCGAGCTAGTGGGAGCTCACTGACTCTGGCCTGGCAGCTGGAGAATCTGCATAGGACCGAATTAGGCCCTCTGAATGTGGGCGATAGTTGTGTGGCTTGGGCACTTTGTGCCACCACTGGCAGTAGGACCAAGATTCATCCCTAGTACATGAATTGACTTTTTGGAGCCCATTACCTGTGGGAGTATACCTTACTCAGCCTAGATACAGGGGGAAGGGCCTTCATCCTACCTCAAGGGATATGACAGACTCTGTTGACTCCCCATGGGGAGGCCTCACCCTCTAGAAGGTAAGGATGGGGGGTAGGGTGGTAGAAAGGTGGGGGAAACAAGAAGAGAGGAGGGAAGAGGAATGGGAATTGGTATGTAAAAAAAAAAAAGATTTTTCTTAAAAAGGAAGTTAAAAATTATATTTATCAATCCAATTCCCTTTAATTAAGTGTATACACATTCAATGAAATGTAAATTAATCCATAGCATGTCTTTGCTATTATAAATCACAATGGCAACAAGTTATCACTCAAACAATCATACAAATGAAACAGCCCAATTGATAGGACATAATCACCATGCGGAAAAGAATCATCTGGCACACAGTTAGCATTACTCGATGACTTCCCAGCAGAAATAAGAGAGCACGCCAGTGATAGGATTTACATATTCAAGTGGATAATTGAATTTCCACATGTTGAAATCACCTTTAAAGAAAAAAAGGATTCATTTGATTTTTAGCAAAAATGATCGATTGCCCATCAGTGCAGTGCAATGTACAGAAGGCAAAGCAGAGAAAAGAAAGATGTGTTAGTTTTTCGTTGACGCCCTAGCATATTATCATAAACACAAGCTTAAAATAGCGTGAGATCATTATCATTTCATGTCTTGTTGTTAACCCCACTCATATGCACAGGGCTCTTATCTTTTAAAAAAATGTACTGCAGGCAAGTTGTTAAAAATACTTTTCCTATTGTCTAGGTTTTGGCTGAAGCCCAGTGTAAAGACAAGTGGTACTGAGGGCATATGTATTCAAAGGAACCTGGCATGGTTTCCTGAAACTTGATTCAGGGCATTCACCCAGTGGAACAATTGTGATTCTGGAAGATATGTAGCTGTACACTTTATAATGACATAGACAGCAAAAAAATAATGACATGGCTAATTTGCAGCCTCCAGCCAGCTAGCTATGACTCCAAAATCCACAAATACAAAACAAAAAACAACAACAAAACCTTACATCTGATATGTTTGTCTTTGATACCTAGATAAACCTAATTGTAGCTTAATTCTTCTTTAGCATGGTTGTAAGAATTTTGCTTGAGACCAACTATTCTCTTGAATAGGTCTGCTTTCACGAGCCTGCTCTCTCCCCCAATCCCCATTTACCCACTGATCTCAATTAAAACATTCCTGCCACAACTTTTCACAGTTGCCTTGTAACACAACCAACACCCACTATAAGGAAAAGAATAAAACCACGCAGAAACCATGACCTCTTTAGCACTTAAAACCAGCCAAAGAGTAATAGTTCTCACTGAAAACATGCCCATCAGCCTATGACTCTTGCTTATCAGCAAGTTTTCGGTTATTGCAATACTTTGTATGCCTAAGCATTTTGCACCTAAATTTCTATTCTAGTTCTTAGGTCACATATCCATTACTAGGTTGCAAACAAACTACCGAACTTATTGCATTCTTGTCCAGCCATTAGTTGATCACAAAACTAAGTAGACAATGACGAGAACACATGTGACAAAGTGTACAGACGACACAAGTGGCCCAGGAAAGTCAGAAAACAAGCGGGAGCAGAAGCAGCAGCAACAAACCAGGAGAGAGAAGAAGATTCATGTGAATTCAACCTCAGTTTTTTTCAAAAGAGTAGTTCCTGGGTCAAATTTGCTGCACATTTGGCCTCAGAAAGAGAGTCCCATGGTCAAAATGTCTTTCCATGCAAGCCTAAGAACCCGGGTTTGATCCCCAGAACCCCTACAAAAGCGGGAGTCTGTGACACCTGGGATGGCATGCATCCATAGGCGTAACTAAGTAATGTACAACACTTGGTTGGCAAGTGGAAGGCAAAGACAGGAGAAAGGAGTGGGGAAGCTGGGGGTCCTCTTCAATGAGCACCATGTCAGCAATAACAAGAGAGACTCTGCCTCAAAACAAATGTGAAAGAAGAGAACCAGCTCCCAAAGTTCTCTGAACTCTACACACATGGCATATGCTCACCTACACACACAAACAAGTGAAATATTTGAGAGTTGCTAATCAATTTACATACTAATAAAGATGCTCAAGAATTTCTAGACTAGAATCAACATTATCCAGCCACGGAGAAACATGGTTTCTTAGAAAATATTCTGGTGACATTGCCCAAAAAAAAAAAAAAAAAAAAAAAAAAGGCTAAATAGAAATTTGGGCATCTTAGCCAGGTGGTAGTAGTGCATGCCTTTAATCCTAGCACTTGGGAGGAAGAGGTAAGGAGGATCTCTGTGAGTTTAAGGAGAGCCTGGTCTACAGAGCAAGTTTCAGGACAGCCAGCACTACACATAGAAACCCTGCCTCAAAAACTAACTAACTAAATAATAAAACTTTAAAAAATTCAATGGTTTTGTCACTAAATGAAAAAAATATTTGAAGAGAACAAGCTTTTCATTTCAGCTTACGATTTCAGAGGTTTTATCCTATATTCAGCTGGCTTTACTGCCTTCAGGCCTATGAGAAGGAAAACATCAAATCAGAACGGCATGGGGAGGAGATCTGCTCAGTGCATTGCATCCAGGAGGCAGAGAGAAAGAGGGAGGAATCAGGACAAGGTATATCCTATAAAGGTTTGCTCCTAGTGTCCCATTTCTTTCAACTAGGTTCCACTTCCAAGATTTCATCCACCAATAATATAAATTAATATATAGTTATAAATTAATAAATAGTTAATTAACTGATTATTCCAGAGGCTTCTTCATATAATCATCTCTCAACTATACCATTAATCAGAGATTAAACCTTCAATGTGAGCCTTTTAGGTGGACATTTAATACCTAAGCCATAACAAATATGAAACGAAAATCTAAGAACATCATAAGGAGAAATTGTCCTGTGTAATACAATTTGGACCTAAAAATACTTCAGTCCTTCTCATATTAAACAGTTGATTCCGTATCCTGATATTTTGCTGAAAATAAGGATAATTTCTCCAGGTTTTCTGGTAGAACTTGTGGGATCTCTTATCATATCATTTGCAAATAGAGATGTCTTTTCTTATTCATAACCCTCTAGTTCCTCATCTTGTCTTATTGTCTGGAACTGGCCTAGGAGCTTTCTCCCTTGGAGAGAGCCCCTATGGCATCCAAAGGTATTGTATGAGCTGCCGAGGGAGAAAAATCGATCCTTAGTCCTACTTAGTGTCAAGCCTAAAAACTACAGAAATCACCACACTGACAAGATCACTATTATCTTAGAGGTAGGCATCAGCTTTCTAATTAAACTGAAGACTTTCTCAATAAGAAGGAATTTACCTATTACTGTAAACCTAGCAAGCTACCCTTGACGGAAGTGATCATAGGGCCCAGAAAAGAGCATATTACTGCTATTTTCCTAAAGCAGGACAACGTCTAACTATATTCTAGATAGTTATCTTTATGCCTAGATAAATATAACTCTCTGTGTGTATATATATGTGTGTGTGTGTGTGTGTATAATTATAACATAATATATATTTATGTCACATCAAAAAAGCTTTTTTCCCAACAGAAGGAGATTGTTAGTGAAACCCCAAACTGGCCAAAATACAGAGTATGAGTGCCGTGGTGCTGGGCACAATTGATCCATCAGCAGCACACCTGCCACACACAACCACTCGGGGAACACTGCATCCTCTGAGCTGTGAACCTAAGAAACCCTGCCTCCCTTGAGCCCTGGTCAAGTATTTGGTCACAGAATGAGGACAGTGACTAATTTTTTCCAATTAGATTGATGCACCCTTCCTTGTAATTGCTTCCTAAGCATCCCATCCTTACCAGTGAAGCTTCTTCCTGTAATTCATCAATAGTTTTATTCATCCATTGAAGCATTTATTTCTAAAAAATAAAAAAAATTAAAGCTAAGTGCCATGCATGCTAAATTTTTTGGACTAAGCTTTATCAGTTTTTTTCATCTGTTTCATAAACTAAACCTTAGCTACACTGTCTAACTTCTGTCTATCTGAAATGAAATTTGGAAATAAAAGTCAGGGCTAGCTACTTGAGATCAGATGTGTTCTCTGACAGGTAAGTGCTTTTGAGGTACAATTATTTCCACAGTAAAGTGAATTAATATTAATTTTACTTTAAAAATTGGAAACATTTAATGACCCTCATTGAAATAACTTAAAGACACTCTGGGGAACTGCAAAACCTCCACCCTAAGCACTATTTGAGTGGAAATTGGGAAAATTAAGACTGAATTTTTAAACTGATAGCTTTTCAATCAGAAGGGGAGACACATAAAATTCAGAAGCATGCTGTGTAATGAGAAACATTATCAATAAGGGAAAATGAGATTCCCAATTTTAAAGAGGGGAGGTGTCACAATTCAATCATGTTCTCCATATAAAAGCCAAGAAAATGCGAATTGTACAAAGCCTTTGGAAGTATTCAGACAACAGGATGTCTGAAGACCCTTGTCTTTAGGGACTTTCAACAGCTCTGATGGAAGCAGAATTTAATGAAAGGTTAGCAGACATGAGGAATAAATTCTAGCAACAACTTAGAACAATGCAGAGATGAAAGTTAGGAGAGGCCTGAAATTAAATTTGAAAAGAGATTTGTTGGGGCTTCATCCAGAGCATAACTCCCCCATCTACCTGTTCTTCAGGTGTACATCATTCCCACTGAGGACCAATGCTGGAAAAAGCTACTGAGTCGCAGTTTCAGCCTCCTGAAACATGATACTACTCATCATTTGCTCCCTTCTCCTTCTACCTTGAGGCTTCTCTTGCTCAGTACAACAGAAAGCAGAGATGAAAGGACCCCCGCTCCATCGGGACTTCCATCAACCTTGAGAGAGCATGTGGCAATGGTTTCGTGTTCCCCGAGGGCAGATAAGACTGCTGTGATGTATGCATTCTGGACTCTATGAACCTCACCTGTGCCTATCACCAACAAAATATTGAAATCACAGATGAGAGTTTGAGCAGTTTAGACCAGCTGGTGTTGCTATACTTCACAAAAAGAAAAATTAGAAAACCGGGCTTCAATGTTTAATAGCTTACCTTCTCAGTGATGGGTACTAGAGACTAGCGCTCACAAGGAGACTTCATTTACAAAGCAGTGAGCTGTATTGTATGGCCAGAGTGAACCAATAACACCAGGCAGCCTTCTACTACTGTAAGCTTTTGAACATAGCCAGGACTAGTCAAGTAAGTATGACTGAAAGATAAAGCAGATCCTAATTTTCTCCCCGGCAATTTGGTCTACTTCCCTTAGCCAAGAGGATAACTATATGTTTTTCCTTGGGTTCACATTCTTACTTACCTTCTTTAGGTTCACCTATTGTAGACTCCGTGGCCCTTGTTTATGGCTAGAAACCAATTATGAGTGAGTACATCCCATGTTCATCTTTTTGGGTCTGGGACACCTCACTCAGGATAGTGTTTTCTATTTCCATCCATTTGCATGCAAAATTCGAGAAGTCATTGTTTTTTACCGCAGCATAGTACTCTAGCATGTATATATTCCATACTTTCTTCATCCATTCTTCCATTGAAGGGCATCTAGGTTGTTTCCAGGTTCTGGCTATTACAAATAATACTGCTATGAACATAGTTGAACAAATGCTTTTGTCATATGATAGAGCATCTCTTGGGTATATTCCCAGGAGTGGTATTGCTGGGTCCAGGGGTAAGTTGATCCCGAATTTCCTGAGAAACCGAAACACTGACTTCCACAGTGGTTGCACAAGATTGCATTCCCACCAGCAATGGATGAGGGTTCCCCTTCCTCCACAGCCTCTCCAGCAAAGGTTATCCTTGGTGTTTTTGACTTCAGCCATTCTGACAGGTGTAAGATGATATCTCAAAGTTGTTTTGATTTGCATTTCCCTGATTGCTAAGGAAGTTGAGCACGACTTTAAGTGTCTTTTGGCCATTTGAACTTCCTCTGCTGAGAATTCTCTGTTCAGTTCAGTGCCCCATTTTTTAATTGGGTTAATTAGCATTTTAAAGTCTAGTTTCTTGAGTTCTCTATATATTTTGGAGATCAGACCTTTGTCTGTTGTGGGGTTGGTGAAGATCTTCTCCCAGTCAGTAGGTTGCCTTTGTGTCTTAGTGACTATGTCCTTTGCTTTACAGAAGCTTCTCAGTTTAAGTAGGTCCCATTTATTCAATGTTGCCCTTAATGTCTGTGCTTCTGGGGTTATACATAGGAAGCGATCTCCTGTGCCCATCTCCTGTAGGGTACTTCCCACTTTCTCTTCTATCAGGTTCAGTGTGTTCGGGCTAATATTGAGGTCTTTAATCCATTTGGACTTGAGTTTTGTGCACGGTGAGAGATAAGGGTCTATTTTCATTCTTCTACAGGATGACATCCAGTTGTGCCAGCACCATTTGTTGAAGATGCTTTCTTTCTTCCATTGTATACTTTTAGCTCCTTTATCGAAAATCAGGTGTTCATAGGTTTGTGGGTTAAAATCCGGGTCTTCTATACGATTCCATTGGTCGACTTCTCTGTTTTTATGCCAGTACCACACTGTTTTCATTACTGTAGCTCTGTAATAGAGTTTGAAGTCAGGGATGGTAATGCCTCCAGAAGATCCTTTATTGTATAGGATTGTTTTGGCTATCCTGGGTTTTTTGTTTTTCCATATAAAGTTGATTATTGTCCTCTCCAGATCTGTGAAGAATTTTGATGGGATCTTGATGGGGATTGCATTGAATCTATAAATTGCCTTTGGTAGAATTGCCATTTTTACTATGTTGATCCTCCCCATCCAAGAGCAAGGGAGGTCCATCCATTTTTTGGTATCCTCTTCAATTTCTTTCTTCAATGCCTTAAAGTTCTTGTCAAATAGATCTTTCACTTCCTTGGTTAGATGTACCCCAAGGTATTTTATGCTGTTTTTGGCTATTGTGAATGGTGAAGCTTCTCTGATTTCCCTCTCTGCTTCCCTATCCTTTGTGTATAAGAGGGCGACTGATTTTTTGGAGTTGATCTTGTATCCTGCCACATTACTAAAGCTGTTTATCAGCTGTAAAAGTTCTTTGGTGGAGTTTTTGGGGTCGCTTATGTACACTATCATATCATCTGCAAATAACGAAAGTTTAACTTCTTCCTTTCCAATTCGAATTCCCTTGATTCCATTATGTTGTCTTATTGCTATTGCTAGAACTTCAAGCACTATATTGAAGAGGTATGGTGAGAGTGGACAGCCTTGTCGTGTTCCTGAGTTCAGTGGGATGGCTTTGAGTTTCTCTCCGTTTAATTTGATGTTAGCTGTCGGCTTGCTGTATATAGCTTTTATTATATTTAGGTATGACCCTTGTATCCCTAATCTCTCCAAGACTTTTAACATAAATGGATGTTGAATTTTGTCAAATGCTTTTTCAGCATCTAATGAAATGATCATATGGTTTTTTTCTTTCAGTTTATTTATATGCTGGATTACATTGATAGATTTTCGTATGTTGAACCAGCCCTGCATCTCAGGAATAAAGCCTACTTGATCATAATGGATAATTTTTCGGATGTGTTCTTGGATTCGATTTGCCAGTATTTTGTTGAGGATTTTTGCGTCGATATTCATGAGTGAGATTGGCCTGTAGTTCTCTTTCCTGGTTGAGTCTTTGAGTGGTTTTGGTATCAGAGTAATTATGGCTTCATAAAAGGAGTTTGGTAATGACCCTTCTGTTTCTATCTTGTGGAATACATTAAGGAGTATAGGTATTAGATCTTCTTGGAAGATCTGGTAGAATTCCGCATTGAAACCATCCTTCCGGGGCCAGCGAGAGGAGGTGGAGCAGATGAAGAGCTGCCTCCGGGTGCTGTCCCAGCCCACACCCCCAACTGCTGGTGAAGCTGAGCTAGCCACTGACCAGCAGGAGCGTGAAGGGGCACTAGAGCTGCTGGCAGACCTGTGCGAGAACATGGATAATGCGGCAGATTTCTGCCAGCTGTCAGGCATGCACCTGCTGGTGGGCCGATACCTAGAGGCAGGGGCTGCAGGGCTGCGCTGGAGGGCAGCACAGCTCATCGGCACATGCAGTCAGAATGTTGCAGCCATTCAGGAACAGGTGTTGGGCTTGGGTGCCCTGCGCAAGCTGCTTCGACTGCTCGACCGGGACTCCTGCGACACGGTACGCGTCAAGGCCCTCTTCGCCATCTCCTGTCTAGTTCGAGAGCAAGAGGCTGGGTTGCTGCAGTTTCTCCGCCTGGATGGATTCTCTGTGCTGATGCGTGCCATGCAGCAGCAAGTGCAGAAGCTCAAGGTCAAGTCAGCATTCCTGCTGCAGAACCTGCTGGTGGGCCACCCAGAGCACAAAGGAACCCTTTGCTCTATGGGGATGGTCCAGCAGCTGGTGGCCCTTGTAAGGACAGAACACAGCCCTTTCCATGAGCACGTGCTTGGAGCCCTGTGCAGTCTCGTGACAGACTTTCCCCAGGGTGTGCGCGAATGCCGGGAGCCTGAGTTGGGCCTGGAGGAGCTGCTCCGCCACCGCTGCCAGCTGCTGCAGAAGCGTGAGGAGTACCAGGAGGAGCTGGAGTTCTGTGAAAAGCTGTTACAGACCTGTTTTTCCAGCCCTACTGATGACAGCATGGATCGGTGAGACCAGGTGGCTTCTTGCATTCTCTTCGTGGGAATCCCAGGCCTCCTGCCTCCCTCCTTCCCAGGCGCCCTCTCCCAAGGGACTGCCAGGCCTTCCTTATTCAGGCCTGGGCCTGGGCCTGCCAGCCCATCTCTGGGCAGCCCCCTGGATGGGGTCCCGAGAAAGGTGCTGGCCCCTTTGATTCCCCCTCCCTTGCTTTCTGTCATCCTTTCCTCTCATGTCCACACTGCTCTTCCAATAAAATCATTTCTCCTGTTAAAAAAAAAAATCTCATATGTTCTTGAAATGAATAATGAGTGGCAAAGGCTATTTTCAAGCAGCCTAGCACAGGGGTGAGTAAGGATGGGCAAAGCGGAAAGCAGGTATTTTCTTGGAGCTTGCAGGTTCACCAATGTAGCCCAATTTGTGAGCTTCAAGACACCCTATCCCAAAACAATTGAGTGGGAAGTAATTTAAAGAAGACAGTTAACACCTATTGGCTATGACCTGTAGCATCTACACAGACATATACACTCACAGAACACATACCACACCTACGGCGGGGGAGAGGGGGAGGGAGGGAGAAACAGACAGAAAGAAGGAGGAAAGGAGGGAGGAAGGGAGGGAAGCTATATCATGCAAATAAGAAACTTAGCAAGAGTCAAGTTAACCAGAAAGAGAGAAAGACTTCTGGATGGTTCAGGGACTTGTTCTTTTTTTTTTAACTTCCTTTTTATTTATTCTTTGTGTCTTTCACATCATACATCTCGATCACATTCATTTCCCATCCATCCCTTCAGCCCTTGCAGCCTCCCCCAGCCCAGTGAAATTTAAGAGTAAAAGGAAGATAAAAATGGGGGGAAAGTCTTGCTGTGGAAGCTGTAGTGTGACATAGTGAGTCATGCAGCAAACTCTTTTTCTCCATGTTTTCTTCATGTATCCTTGTGAGTGTTCACTGCAAAGAATCATCGGTCTGGTTAGAAGTCTCTGATTTCTACTGTACTATTAATGCTGGCCCTCACTGGAACTCTCTCTCATCCTTCACACCTCCTTCCCTCTTTCTTTTTCTTTTTTCCCCTCTCTCTCCCTCTCCTCCAATCCCACTTCTCTTTCTCCATGAGACAACAATCCCTTGCTGTTTGAAATTGTGTGCTTGTGATCGGCTTTCTCAAAGTAGAGAGGACGGTGCTTCGATCGTATCAAATGCCGGTATAGATGCAGTGAATAAAGCCAATGCAAATGGAGTTATTTATACATGATTTATTCATATGCTAATTGATTTGATTGTTTATCACACCCAGGATTGGTAAGATTGACAAACTCCTCAGTGCATATTTAACTTCTTTAAAGCCAACATGGGCATACTAGCAACACTGAAGATGGACAACTCCTACCAGAGACCCAGCCTGAAAACTTATATTGGATCAAGGTTATGTTGGAGCCATAATCTAAGGACAGTACCCATTTCTGTTCTCATCTCTAGGGAGAATTCACTAGAAATCTGGTAACTTAAAGGCACTGCCAATTCCACTTTAGCATAGAAAGCACCAGTCTTGGTGATTTCTACCAACAAAAACTGCAAGCCACAGGGAAAATGAGTGATTGTGGATTATGTTTGTATTCCCCTTATTTGAATTTTTTTTTAAATGGGGTCTTTCTATGTATTCTTAAAACTACTTTGAAACTTTCTGTTTAGACCAAGCTAGCTTCAGACTTACAGAGATTCTGCTATCTCTGCCTCCTGAGTGCTGATATTAAAGGTGTGTGCTACAGTATCAATCTTCTGGTACAGGATTTATTGTATGAAAACTGGAGGCATCTGAGATTACAGGCTACATAGAGGATCGGGTGCAGTCTGCATTTCTGAATATTACCTCTTCTGTTACTTTCCCTTATACTGTTCTTTGAGACCTTTCCTGAAGGGAAGGAAATCCCCCATAGAAAGAAGGATGAAGGTCCCCTACTTGGATCAGCCTCTAGTTGGTAGAAAAAAATGAACATGTTAGCAAGGTCCACCAGTTTCTCCTCTAACAAGGCAGTCAAATACAAATTGTCAGGATGTCATCAAAGTGACAAGAATAGGGAAACTTGCCCAAGAAAACTGTTACACGCCAACAGCTCCTCCTGCTTCTGTTTGTCCAAGACCTTGGTGCTAGGTTTTAGAGGATTGTAAATATTTAATTAATGTTCGGTTTCCTTCTTACTTTACCAAATTATCTCAGAATGAATGATTCAACTGCACTAAAATGATTTAAATTTTAGAGCAAGTAGCTGCAAAATAAATTATAGCTATTAAACCACAGCTTATGGCAATGGTATATTAGGTTCAGGTAATGCAGTTCCTGGTGTGAGTGAGCTTCTCCCCAGCCAAAATCAGAGCGGGTTGTTCAACCTCCCAATGAACCGACCGCACACACACATCCTACATGCTGATAAACAAACTCGCTCTATTTATCAGGTAAAATAGTTGAATGTGATCATTAATACTAAACTGAAAACATTGTAATTTATTCAGTGTAGAGTGTTTCTCATCTCTAACATCTGGGTTAGTGAAATGCAAAGAAAAAGTTTTCCAGCTAACACTTGACAACTCTGGGGCTCCTTAAAACTGAAGTCGGGAGCTTTCCTTCTCACTGTGATGTCCCATTATGATCAAGCTGTTCCGGGCAATGCCTGCTACTTGTTCTCCATCACAGTCTCACTATAGTAGCCTAGTTTTCTCGTCTTTCTCCTTTTGCAAATTGCTCCAAAATCTTAGTGCATTTATATTTGAACTTTTCTGTAAATTACTTTAAAAATATTTACAAAGCTGAGTGGCAATATTATTTATAGAGTGGGTTGAGCATGTAAAAGGAACATTACAGTTTCTGAGAGAAAACACTTCATGACTCTATCATAAAATTTTATGTATGTGGTCTATAAAAATATTAGTCAAAACCGTACCCACTTACACAAAAACTACTCAAGATATTAGTGTACAACAAACATTTCATCGAGGATTATGTGCAGCACAATATGCAATTATAAAAGCTCTTAGTTTCAATTTTCATTTTCACAGTATTTTATGTGTCATGAAGTTTAAGCCCCTTCTGTTTTTGCAAGATAGTCATCTTGTCATTATATGCATTCTTAAAGGGTTCCATTTGTATATCTACAGTGAAAAGCAATGGCATTTTTTAAATGCAATATATATCTTGGTGAACTTGAGCAAAATAGCTAGTCATTTCCTTGGTAAGCTAAGCAAAATATTAAGTGATTTACTGTCAGATTTTTATATTGTACTGAGAATCTATAGCATAAATCTTTCTATGTTTAAATACTGATGGGGACAAATCATTTCCTGTGACTTCTCTATCACAGTAAAGGAAGCATGATTATCCTTCAACGATGCAAAATTATATCTATTTGTCACTTGTGACATGACGGAGAGAAGGGATATTAAGGCAAAATAACTTCCCTTCAATCTTTTTAAATATCTACATTAGGAAAGAGTAAAATGAAGAAAAATTACTGGCCAATAGTTAAAACAATGTAAGAACCTGACGGCTTCTAAAACCACAGTGGGGAATCTGGAGAGATGGCTCAACAGCTAAGATGGTCTTGCTGCTTGCTGATCATTCCAAGATCCTGAGTTCAGTTCCCAGCAGCCACTTGGAGCTGCTTTAAATGTGTGTGTGTGTGTGTGTGTGTGTGTGTGAGAGAGAGAGAGAGAGAGAGAGAGAGAGAGAGAGAGAGAGAATAATATATTTTTTCCTATATCCAAGCCATACAAAGTATTTCTATGTTTGTGATGAATTCTACAGAACTTAGAATAAATAAAACTACAAAATGTTCTCTAAATATGAATTGGGCATGCACACCTAGGGAAGATAGGACTTTTCCATAGAGGACTAAATCAACTATCAAAAACACTCCACTCCTTTCGGCGCCAGGAGACCCAGCATTGGGGTGAGTTTCTGGCCCAAGGCGCCAGCCTGGGACGGGGTGCTCGGGGGTTTCTTGGCCCCCTGTCCTGCTTGGGCTCTCTGCTGCCTCTTTCTTCCTGGCCCACCCAGCTTCCGTCCAGACCCCTCCCCACTTCGCCCCCACTGCCCTCTTTTGGCGCGTAGCATCGCCCAGCGCAGCCTATCTGGGCGCTGGGTCCGAGTACCCGGGGCTCCCGGGCGGGCAGCAGTTCCTTTGTTTCTGTGGCCTGCCTGCACCAAGCGGGGTAGGCGCTTTGTCTGCGGGCTGCCCAACCAGCACGGAGGCCTGATCTTTCGGCGCCAGGAGACCCAGCATTGGGGTGAGTTTCTGGCCCAAGGCGCCAGCCTGGGACGGGGAGCTCGGGGGTTTCTTGGCCCCCTGTCCTGCTTGGGCTCTCTGCTGCCTCTTTCTTCCTGGCCCACCCAGCTTCCGTCCAGACCCCTCCCCACTTCGCCCCCACTGCCCTCTTTTGGCGCGTAGCATCGCCCAGCGCAGCCTATCTGGGCGCTGGGTCCGAGTACCCGGGGCTCCCGGGGGGCAGCAGTTCCTTTGTTTCTGTGGCCTGCCTGCACCAAGCGGGGTAGGCGCTTTGTCTGCGGGCTGCCCAACCAGCACGGAGGCCTGATCTTTCGGCGCCAGGAGACCCAGCATTGGGGTGAGTTTCTGGCCCACGGCGCCAGCCTGGGACGGGGAGCTCGGGGGTTTCTTGGCCCCCTGTCCTGCTTGGGCTCTCTGCTGCCTCTTTCTTCCTGGCCCACCCAGCTTCCGTCCAGACCCCTCCCCACTTCGCCCCCACTGCCCTCTTTTGGCGCGTAGCATCGCCCAGCGCAGCCTATCTGGGCGCTGGGTCCGAGTACCCGGGGCTCCCGGGGGGCAGCAGTTCCTTTGTTTCTGTGGCCTGCCTGCACCAAGCGGGGTAGGCGCTTTGTCTGCGGGCTGCCCAACCAGCACGGAGGCCTGATCTTTCGGCGCCAGGAGACCCAGCATTGGGGTGAGTTTCTGGCCCACGGCGCCAGCCTGGGACGGGGTGCTCGGGGGTTTCTTGGCCCCCTGTCCTGCTTGGGCTCTCTGCTGCCTCTTTCTTCCTGGCCCACCCAGCTTCCGTCCAGACCCCTCCCCACTTCGCCCCCACTGCCCTCTTTTGGCGCGTAGCATCGCCCAGTGCAGCCTATCTGGGCGCTGGGTCCGAGTACCCGGGGCTCCCGGGCGGGCAGCAGTTCCTTTGTTTCTGTGGCCTGCCTGCACCAAGCGGGGTAGGCGCTTTGTCTGCGGGCTGCCCAACCAGCACGGAGGCCTGATCTTTCGGCGC